AAAAAAAGGAAAACAACTGGTTAAGAGAGATCAAAGAAAATATTCTTACCGTCTTTGTTCTCTGAATATCTCTATCCACGACTTCTGAGTCGATTGCCAGAAGCGTCTTCAGATAAAACACTACTATTGGAACATTATCTAGTCCACGAGAAAGAAATCTAAAGCTTTTTTCAGAACAACCGACTGTTTGATGAAAAAGTAAAAGATAAACTCACATTTCGTCCATAAAATTTGGCCACCTATCAGGAAAATCTGCGGCAAATACTAATGAAAAGATATGTGCCATTTTATTCACTAAGAAAACCGGTTGTTCTGGATGTGTGGAGAGCTTCTTAGATAGAACAAATTCAAAATTTTGAAAATGTACATGGAATGAAAAAACGTAAATTACCTGAATCCAGTGCGAGAGTAGTTTACGGATGCACATGACACTATCAGCATCAGCTTGAGCATAGCGTCGGGATAAATAATCCTCGACCACTTGCAAAAGCAGGAAGTGTTCTTCATCGGTGCTGAAACATAATAAATATTTGGTGTTCGCTAAATAAAGGACAAATAAATAACTGAGGAAATTATTTGGTATGCACAAAAAATCAATGAAAACACCTCAGGTTGTTTGCAACGATGTTGTCCGTTGACTTGCGCCATCCATTCTCGTCTGTTTTCAAAGCCTCGAGGTAGTGGTAGAGCTAAAAGTCATGATAGTAACTAATCATAAAAAGCGGATATTTGTATACAACATAAGCAAATAATACTAGTACACAAGGTTAAAGGCAGCGGATCGGCATAATGACACCTTTGAGATAACCATCGTTCTCGGTACCTTTGGATGGGCTAAGTCCAAGACTGTGCTTTGCAACTTCAAGAGATACCAATAACCCGCTTTTCCATACGTGAAATTGCTATTGGGCGGACCGTGTTGCCGGCCTTCATCACGATTGGCTCGTGGGTACGGTGGGTACGATGTCTCCACTCACGAGCCAATCGCGCTCTAGAAGACGACATATGCGGTCCGCCCAAATAACACCTTTCACGTCTAGAAAACGGGTTATTGATATCTTTTGGAGCAGTCTCAGTCTTAGACTTAGCTTATCCAGAGGGACCGAGAAATGAATACCCCAAATTTGTCATTCTGCCGAGCCGCTGCCTTTAAATGGCAAATTTTATACTTGAACTCAGCATTAGTGTATGCCTTCTTATCGAGAAACCGACACAAAAAATTGCTCTCGGAATTGGGAAAAATTTTTCAAAAAACTGAGATTTTCAACATTTTTGAATGCAACACAACTGAATTATAAATATTTCAGATAGTACGAGTATTATGCTCTGTGGCTAACTTTAGCCATCTTGATTTTGGCTTGTGTACGGATTTCGAGACAAAAGAACTAGTAAATGATTCAAACCAGAGCATTCTTATCATCCGATAAACTTGCCAAAACTGAATTGAAAAATATATGGAGGTTTAATTCACAGCAGTACGGGACAACAAAAAACCAATAAAACATGTAAGATGAAAGAAAAAGAAGCGAAACAACTCACTTGTGCTTGTTTTGACGGGTCATTGATGGAACCAGGAGCTCCGAACGGATTCCCGTTCAACGCGCTATTGACGGCAGTCATTTTGACAAGAATATGTCTTCAGTTGAAGTTCAGAGATGCTAACGAATCGATAACAATAATTTGTAATCTTTCGTCTTCGAAATTACAGCTGGCAGCTCATGCAGCATACTACCAGAGTCAAATCGAATAAAACAGATGGTCAACAACACGAAAGCATTCGATTTGAGGAGAACCTGCAAATATGCATGATATGTTTTTGTAAAAGTAAATAAAAGAGTACATCAAGCGCATTTAGTTGTAAAAATAGATAGAGAAATGAGATACTGCATGCAAATGCCACAAAGGGGTCTCTAACAAAAGCGGCAAAAACCTATAAAAAAGAATTTACTGAGAAAAAGAAGTAAAA